GGGGCCCGGCCACCCTTTGTGAGTAAACCGCGCGGCGGGGGCTGGGCTGCAGGCTTCGCCAGGCCACGTTCTGAAACGTCCGTGGCTCGGCCTGATTCCTAAGGGCTGCTTTCGTGTGAGGCTTTTGCAGGTCAAATAAGAACATCTATGCTTATAACTTTATTTTTTCTCTACTATTTTGAAACCAGAAATGTGGGCATTAGACTTCCTGGGCGACAGACAAACCAAAGAGCAGAAATTCATGTAAGTTGCCAGATAATTTTCCATAACAATGTTCGGGCGTGTTGTGTAGCAGCGACTATGAACGTAACGCACTTCCCGCTCTCTGTGTGTGAGACAGTCAGGGTCCAGAGGAGCTGTGTGGGCTGGGGACAGTCATGAAGGATAGGGCTTTTCTGGAAAAATGATGGAACATGTCCAATAGGCGTGTAAGCGGAACTGTGTGCGTGGCATTCTCTCACGTGGGAGTGTGAGCATCACAGTCCGCACAGGAGAGGGACGCTGCGTCTGAAGTCCCTGAGCGTCTGTCTGTCGGGGCTGAGCAGGCTCCGTGGTGACGACCGGCCTCTCTTCAAGGCAGCCTGCAAAGCCATAGAGCAAGCCAGGGCCCAGAACATCACGAAGCTGGTTCTGTACACAGACAGCATGTTTACCATCCACGGTGAGCTTTCCCGCCTTCCTTCTGGGTTTTCTAGCAAATTTGCCGGGAAGTAGGCATTTCCTTCCCTTGTGGGGGGCACTGTATGGGGGACCTCGTGTCAGTGGGGCTGCATTAGGTTTGTTGGGTCTGAAGGGAAGGATGTGGGTCTGGGACCCAGGTCTGCTGCTACAGGGTTTCTTTGCCAGGACTAGAGCCAGGGCAGGACGCAGGTGAGGCCCTGCTGGCGGCCCTGGAGGCTCACCGTGTGCGTGACAGGATGGCGTGCTGGCGTCTTCTTGGGAAACACCGTGTGGGAGCACAGGGAGCAATGCTGAGGTTGGGGCGCTTCCTGGAGGAGGTGACGCCCGGGCTGAGAGCTGTAGGCCGAGTGCGGTTAGAATCGGAGGAGAGGGAGGGCTTCAGGCCCGCGGGCCCGGAGGAGAGGGAGGCCGGGGTGCTGCTCAGAATACGGTGGGCGAGGAAGAGGCCCCGTCCGCGGCTCCTAGCCTGGAGGCGTGTCTTCCAGGCATCACCAGCTGGGTCCAGGGCTGGAAGGAGAACGGATGGAGGACGAGCGCCGGGAAGGCGGT